TCACGACTGTTGTCTTTTTTGCTTTAGCATCAGAATAAGTTGATCGAGTGATCGCATCCACTAGGGTGCAGCACCGCGACCCTCGCGTGAATGACGGACTGGCACAACATCTACTGACCCCCTCTCCTCTCCCGCCTGTCTGGCTTCGATGGTCAGACAGTGTCAAGCCAGCCAGAGGCTTGTTTAGGCACGTCAGCTGGAACAAAGCTAAACAGTCTGTCTCTGTGTACGAAGGATGACCCGGTCCCCACACCCATTTTTTACGAGGATGACGCGAGTCGTGTATGTGCAAGAATCCCATGAAGAGCGCAGTACGATGGAGTCCTGGAACATCAGTCTCGATCATCGGGTCACTTGGTTCATTCACATAGTACTGACCACGCGGACTGGATTATTGCAACCTTCCACGCATGACTTTTAACTCCTAGTAATTACTCTTTTGCTAAGTAGCACCTCAAAATCACGGAGCCCGCAGGCAAACGACTAATGGAACTGGCGGTACAATTGGTCGACTCACAGTCTTTGCAAGTACTTTTCTTGCACCTCCGTCTACGTTTCTCATCCGTCCAGTCTAGTTTGTTACTCGGATTGAAATTTTTCTAGACAAGGTGGGTTCACCAGAAAATATTTATTCATATGCTGAAGTTTCGGAGAGCTTGGTTGTTTCACCGTTGTCAACGTTTTACTCGCAGCTTATCCCTCAAACGCACCTATGTCCGAACTCTATTCAAAAGAATCGGAGCACATTGCAGTACGCCAGCAGACAAAATAGCTGAACGGCTCTACCTTCAGAACCTCTTCGGAACTAGTGGATATCCTTAACATTTTATCGAGAAGAGTAGTCGCCCAGTGAAATGACGACGGCAAAGGAAACAGCAGTATAAAGTCTTGAGGAACATTTCCCACTTTAAAGCAGTCTCTGAGACCGTTTCTTGACTGTTACAGCCCACCAGAGTGAGCATAGATTAGAAATACAAAGCAACACTTCTTCACCGTTTGCTACAACACAAAGACACTCTGCCAATTACTGAAAGCTCAAAAATTGTCTACAAAAAAGCTGCAATAGGGGGACTGCAATTAGGTTGGGGAAACCGGGCGGATATTGCACACCCATCTACATGAGCACAATTCAGCAGTTCGGAAACCGGAGTCAAACTCTTAGCTTGCAACGCATGTTTTAGAAACAGGCCATACGTTCAATTTTCAGTGTGCTCTCATCTTCGGCAGGGCAACGCGCAGACGGAATAGCTAAGGCTTGCGGCGTAGTATTCAGATGCCTACTGCATCAACAGGCGTCTGGACCTTCGTGTAGCTTCTAAAGACTTGCGTCATTACGTACGCAGAAGTAAAGACAATACCGCCACGCGGAACTCTAAAAAGCCACACAGACGCAAGCCGAGAACGATCGCACCCCAATAAGAAAACTAGCTGCCGGATCGGACAACACCGGCA